CGCGCCTTTTTCGTGCGTTTTCAAAAACGCAAAACCGAGTTCACTCCACAACAGTGAAAGTATGTGAGCACTAGTTCGATCTCATTTCCTCACTCAGATCCGTAGCAAGTTGTCGAGGCCAGTCCCGCGTATCGGCATGCGTCAGACCCGATCATCGCGATAGGCATCGGCACACCGGCAATCTGATACCCGAGGTGGAGAAGATAGGTGCCACGTCATGTTTCATATGCTTACTGTTAGGTTAGGTATTTTATCGGCCGTATGATTTCATCGCGTTTTTGAAAACCCGCTTTCCTTAAAGGGGCGTTCAAATTTCCTCCAAAAACGCGCTTTTCAAAAAACCCGGGTTTTTAAAAACGCAAAAACTTTGATACCCCCTTTAGGACAGAAACATATATACTCAATTGACTAAGAGAAGAACATGGCAAGAGCCTCGAGCACTCCGCCTGACATATGTACAAAGTGCTGGTTCATCCCATACGTGGGAGTATCATCCTCAATTGCAGAGTCCAACAACGGGCGGGACCCAATAGCGTCCATCCTTTGTCTCTTAATCGCCTCTCTCTGATTCCCGATTAGATCGGGTCTACCCTCTCTCCGATTAGCTTCGGTCCATCTGCTCCCCGATTAGATCTGCTGGATTGCCCTCTTCAACAGGGTGGCCCTTACAAACACTGGAATTGGCAGTGGTGGATGGCAAATACGCCGGCATTCTCGCAACACATCCAACACAGAGAGAGATAGAAGCAGGTCCAGCATCGCCGCAAGACATTCTGCCTTCTTTGTTGAAGCTTGCATCCCTTTTCGCCCAAGCTTTCGCTATGTCTCATCAGTCTTGCCGTACACAGCATACAGATCGAGGCTTTGTAGCGATCAGCTTCTGTATCAATCAAGCTTGTGGGCTTGCATGATGCGATCAAGGTTCGAGCCTGTCGCCTATCTGTCAAAGAGGGTTTGATCCTCCTCGACAACGCAGAAACAAGTCATTGCGACAGGATCACTGTTCTACTTCTGCACACCACACAGTTACATGTCACTGAGTCTGGAATCATGAAGGCGTGCATCACGTGATCGTAAGGAAGGCGTGCGCGTCTGAGCTGGACTCATCCATCGACTTCCCACTCATCATTGCTCCTTCCTTCCCTCCATCATCCTGTTCTTGAGTCGAGCGTACGAGACGCAGTCGACTCCCTTTTCCTTGCCCTCCCTGTACTCCCATCGCTCTGCCGCTCGTTCCTGCGCTCGACCGGCTCCCATACGGCGGGCCGGGAGCCTCCTTGACGAGCTTCGAGGATCTCACGGGTCCTCGCCTGCAAACCAATTATGCTTCAAAATAGTCTTCGTTATCGTGCGATTGAGTCTAACTGGGATGGCAATATGTGCTCGGAATTTGTGCGGTCCCTCGCGAATAAAATTGCTTCCTTCATTTGGTAGGAAAAGGTTTTTTTGGTTGCAGACGGCGCAAACTAACTCGGAACTCTGACGCCATCATGAAACTCGATTGCTGGGGACGGACTTTAGGCATCTTCGGGCTCCTTTGATCCTACGTGCTCTACACCCGTTCATTCGCACATGCGCAAGACCATGTAAGAGGTCGAGTTGATCATAGGATGATGATGGACGCCTTGACACGCGCGACACAGTTTTCGCCGGCAAAAGAAAAAGAAAAGAAAAAAATGGCACTGCAGGTTATTGTCAGGAACACAGACGTCAGATTCCGAAGAGAACACCCTTGTCCAATACGCGATCCTACCAAGGCTGATACATGACCTGTCTAGGCAATGTGACGGCGACAATGAAAGATGGCAGACCTTCCTGATCAGTCGACCGCAGCAAAGCACAGAATCCAGCTCGAAGCAGAGCACAGCTTTCAGTAGCCGCCACGGTGTAGCTCGATAGCTCCGAGGATGAGCAATGCAAAGCCGAAAGGAACGACAGCTGCGAAAACGACGACATCCTGGTAGATGCGCTTTCCACGTGTTCTGCGTTGAAGCTGACGTTCCTTACGTGCCAGAAGGATGGTGGTCGCTTCGTCCCTATCGTCGTTGGTCTGTTCGGTCAAATGACTTGGAATTGACGGTGAGTCTCGATCCAGCGTCATGGAAGCACTGTGTCGGCTCGAACGGTGCGAGTGCAATCCTGGAAGTTCGTTTGCTGCGCTGACACGCGGGCTGAGTTGCGATGACGTCGTCCCTTCACCTTGTTCATCCTCTTCGTCGACTTCTCCTTGATCACCCAACAATGGCTGTCTCTCAGCCGCCACTCCTTGGCCCGAAGCTCCCCTCGAGCCAAACAGGTACTTACGGTTGCGTGCCAGCATCGAGAGCGGTCCGGAAAAGTAGGCGGACGCTGTCTTGCCGATCTCGCTTGCGAATGGCGGTAGTATTGCACGCGGACGTCGGATGTGGAACAGAATCATCCACACAAGGCCGGGCATCACAAAGCCGACACCGGCACCGATGAGACCCAGCACCTCGGACGCTCGCGTGAACCTAGCTTCCTCGCCTTCCTTTTCGCTCCTTCGAAACCCGCCTGCTCCAGACAGATAGGCGCTCGAAGCGGTGATGCCCCATAGCAAGAGACCCGCCAATGCATTGCGTGCGGGCTTGCCCCACCTGCGCTTCCACTTGCCTATTTGAGAACCATCTTGTGCCGCGTGGTGTCCGGTTTCAGCATTGGAAGCTGCAATCTCGGCGCTCGTTCCTGCGACAAGCGAAGGGGTTGCTGTTGGCTCATTGTCAGGAAGCCGGATGGGCGGTCGGCGCTTGCGAAGCGGGTTCAAGTTGAGCAGGCGTAGCAATCGACCCCACGATGAACGGGCGGTCGTCAAGCAGATGGCTAAATGGGTGGCCAGGATTGCCACAAACAGGATGCGCGCCACATTGATCCAGTGATCGTCGTTCGGAAGCGATGCAAACAGATTTGGGTGAACCTCCTTCCGCAGTCGGCCTTGAACACCATTGACACCTGCCACAACGCCAAAGAGGATGCCCATGGTGATGATGAAGATGACCTGTCCAGCTTGTGCGCCAAGGAAAGCTTTGACATTGGAGCGGGAGGTGCCAATCCGACGCAGGCTACGTTGATGTGCCAGGATCTGCAAAGGGCATGCACTGAGCGTCATCAATGGCAGAAGTGAGATAGGCGCCCAGATCGAGGGTGGATGCAAAGGGTTGACACTCGGCCATCGATCACTACGACCATAGTTGGCTGTCTCGGAGTAGAATGCCTGTGTCGTGTGTGATAGTGAGGCGGCTCCTACTGGCGGGGTTCTGGCGTAGATCTTGACGAGAGTGATGGTAATGATGATGGGGTAGAACGTTAGAGAGAAGAATGTGTTGAGGCGGATGACGTTACGCTTGGAGAGCGGAAAGATGACAAGCGGCACCGAGATGACACCGCCGACGACTAGCGTTACAAAGGCGCGGTCATGCAGAGGTACGCCACGAGGAGCGTAGTTGAAGAACACCTGTAGGAGAAGATCTGCGAGGGCAAAGTAGCCGATGATGGCGCTTCCCGTTGCATAGAGGGCGAGCAGCAGTCCCGATACGACTCTACCGAGACCTCCTTTCCAGGGTGTATACCTGCCAAAGCTAGCACCTACAATCGCTTCGATTGAGCTGCCATTGACGTAGCGACTGAGCACAACCCAGAGACCTCCACCGACTCCTCCTAAGCTAGCTACACCAACCAGACCGATAGTTCCGAGCAATACACCAGTGCGTGCAAAGTAGTGGGGCATTGAAAGTAGCACAGCGGGATGCAAGCTGGCTGAGAACAGGTTTGCTGATACGTGGGGAGCTGAAAGACTAGCAGGGGTGCTAGGATTGGTGAGAAACTTCCACCATGCTTTTCGATGCTCGCGTGACGTTCGCAAGGTCTGCAGCACCGAGTCTGGACGGCCTTTCCTTGCTCTTCTTCTGCCTCTCCGTGTGGCACTGCTTCCAGTCGCTGACAGTGGCAGTGTGCGATCTTGATGCAGAGGATGGCCGTTGTCGTCTTCGTCGCTGCTGTCGTCCCACGCTTGGCCTACATCGATCCGGCCTTGGCGCATAAAAGCATCGAATTCGGAGGCTGCGTCGCTGTCCGCTTCTTCCGGATCGTCGGCATGTATGTGTTGCGATCGGGAGCGATATGAGTTGGCTTTTGAGCTCTGAGCAGGCTGACCGTGGTTCGGTGTGGTGTCGAGTTGGCTTGCCGAGGAAGATGAAGCAGGTTGCTGATCATCATCGTCATCATGGGGGTCGGCATAGTGGAGGGAGATATGTGACGGTTGTGTCGAGAATGTCGGATACTGGGCCTCTTCTGTCCTCTTCGGTGAAGGCGATGTGGACATGCTGAAATGCCCTCTGGCGAGGTGTGAGACGGAAGTTGGTTTGAACATTCAGTCTTTCACTTAGCCCTTGAGGACGACTGTGATCGTCGGGATTGCTCGTCAGCCGCTGCGAGCTACTTGACAAGGAAAGGATATGAGACAGAAGTTCAAATGGATGGATGGTGCGTGTGATGATGGCGGTGTCGGTCGACTTTGGCATTGATGTGGAGGAATTGAAGATAACAATTAATATACGGCGTTATCAGGGTCACGATCAGACTCCCTTTACCACAGCCGTATGTTCTATGTAATGCTTGGTTTTCATAGTGTGGACCTAAATGACAAACGCATATATATATACTCTATTCGCCGCTCTAGTCCTATCCGAGACAGGACGTGTCACTTCATTCATACTCCTGTGTTGCTATGATACTGGGTGCCACTAAGCTGTCGCCATGACAACAATCATGTACCTCATTGTGCTTCTCGCTTAAGTAAGCCTCCTGCACCTCGGTGTCTCGGCCGTGACACGTGCATCTTGCTTGAGATGCCGACGCATCTTCAACTGGAGGGCTGCCATGGACTCACGACTGCAGACTGACACAAGTTGAGCCCTGAATTGGATTTGCCGACAAAGAAGGTTCTAAGAAGAGGTTCCAAAAACATAGATCAAAACAAAAAATATGGGGCCAACCCGGAATCGAACCGGGGACCTCTGTCAACTTAGAATCGTGACTACTACACAGCAACCACATAACCCTAAGACAGCATAATAAGCCACTATACGATTGGCCCTTCAATGTGTTGTAGTAAAATTATTAGCATACATATACGCATTTAAATAAGGTCTGCTTCACTTATCTAACGTTTTCAATTGTCTCTGTGATACGATTCCTCTTTAGCTAGAAGACATCGGCCACAAGCTCAAGTACACTGTCCTGCAGTACCTGAAACGCACATGATGACGACGTTGAGTTCATTGCGCACAGAGAACAGTTGGATAGGACACATATGCAGAGACAGCTGCGACTTGTTGATTGTGGAAGCATGCAAAAGGTAGGTAGAGATAATTCGGACAGATAGATGCTTGCTTCGATGTTGTTTCGAAAGAAGGCCACATAGAAGAGTGTGCTGGACCGCGCTGCTGGTGTGAGCATACGAGTCATGGACTGAAGTTGGTTCGATCAGCTCGAAAGGAGCATAGCGTCAACGACTGCCTCCTCCTCGTGATCTCCCGAGGTAAAAGCCGCGTCTCTGCTACCTTGTTCCCAGGTCTGGTCGCCATGGACTGGCCCAGCCAGTTGCGGAGCTTTGTTTCCGGAGTCCACCTCTGGCATCTCCAGAGGCGAAGCGAACTCGTCGCTGACGGCACAGGTATTTCGGTCCGCTTTAGGCGCAGCTGGGGAGGTCTGCTGCGCAGAGGAGTCGGCAACAGGACGCTGAGGTTTGCGTCGGAGCGGCAGTTCGGCCCAGCACTCCTTGCGACAGGCCGGGCAGGTGACCCACTTGCCTAAGGTGTCACGCTCATCCCCATCCTCGAGAAAAGATTTGGCGATTCCTGCGGCGTGCTGGCTGGATTCGCCGTCAGCGGCATCGTCCGAGAGGCCCATGATGGCGTCGAGATCGTCGGCGCTACGGAGGTCGTTCTCAACACGCATGCTAGTGCAGAGACAATCAAGATGAACCTCGTGTCGACATGGAGTAAGCTTTACGAGGTCGGTCGTCATTCTGTCGGTGGTCTCAGGAAGTTCAAGATGACCGTCTTCACTACGGGATGAAACGGGGTAGCGTGGCAAGCAGGCGGGGGCATCGCATCTCCAACCGCGCTGGCGCTCGCGTGCTCGAACGTCGTCTCGAAGAGTAGAGCGTACAGGAGCAGAAACGGATAGTTCTGCCTTGGGAGATGTGCGAGAAGAAGTGGTGCTAGCACTTGTACTGGAGAAAGTCTGCGCCGGACGGTGAGATGAATCGGGACTAAGGATCGCTCGACAGAAAGGGCATGTCCACTGAGAAGGAGGTAGCTTCTGGAGCCACTCGCGAAGACATCCAGCGTGTAAAGTGTGATGGCCAGGGCAAGGCACAGCTACAACGGCTTCATCCTGACTCTTGGGACCGTCAATCCACTCTGGTCGGTCCTCAGCCTCGTAGTTGTCGAGACAGACACCGCATCCGATCAAGGCATCCTGATCGTCGCTAGCTGCGGTGTCTGCAAACCCACCGATGCTGCCCATACCTAGCCTGGCCATACGAGCTCGCAACTCAGCATCGGCACGCTCGAGCTGCTTGACGTACTTGGCAGCCTTTTCAGGATGGGGCTGTTCGGGCTCGGGAGGAGCAGCAAAGTGGATGTCGAGAAGGATGCGGAAGGGTGGACCAGCAACAAGACGTGGCTGCTGCGACTCTGGAGCTTCTGGAGAAGGTCCGCCTGGAGGACTGCCCGGGGTGAGTTGTGCTATTGGCCATGCGAGATCGGTATGCTGATCATAGAGGAAAGAGAATGGGAGTGGGGACGCTCCAAAAGGTACGAAAATGGGTGAGACGGGGACATGGCCGTCAGGATGGGGATGCGAGCGTGGTCGAGCCTGGTCTTGAGTGGTATTAGGAGCGGCACCTGGCAGACCAGTGGGGTAAGTATGAGACTGAGTAGCGCCCTGTTGAGACTGTGAAGATGGCTGCAAGTTGGTACCTTGAGATGTGGTAGGAGCAGCGGTCGAAGGGGGTGCTCCTGGCTGCACGTCTTGCTGAGACAGTGGCTGTGGATGGAAGGCGAGGAGTGCAGGGTTGCCATCGGGTCCGCTGAAGGGCAGACGGAAGTATACAGGCGCTCCGCTAGCATCTGGAGCAGAGTCAGAGGACTGACCGGACATGGCTTGCGTTCGTGCTGATTCGGCTGAGTCTGAGGCAAAATTCGATGCAGCGGTGGAAGGATCAGACTGAGTGTTCGCTGCTGAAGGGGAAGCTTGTGTACCTGATTGAGATGCAGGCCCGGCGGGGTCTATGGAGCTGGATGACTGAGCATTCTGTGCGGATGACGCGGGATCACGTTGGATCACATTACGGAAGCTGGCGGTGAAGTTGTCCCATAGCGTTGTTGCGGGAGCTGCCTGGATCTGTGGTAGTGCGGAAGGTGTCTGCTGAGCAGTCGAGGAGCTTGGGGCTGCGTTGGTTACTGCATCAGAGGTCGAAGATCCTTCAGACGTCGAAGAGGAAGCGTCGGCATAGGATGAGTTTGATGTCGTATTCACTGCTGTCGGCTGCGTCGTGGAAGCAGACGGCTCGGAAGCAGCGTCGTTCAGCTGGCTCTCATCGTTGTTCGACTGGAGGCGATCGCAGTGGTATGAAGAGGAGGTGGTGTTCTCCATCTTGATAGTTCACAGGGTACCGATGATAGGAGGGGAAGTGTTGAGATGTGATGATGGTTGAAAAGAGAAGTGTGGAGTGAGTCTAACGAGTTGATCAAGAGCAAGGTGTGGGCAAGGTGAGATACCGAAGCAGACTTGTGTCTTGGCTTCGACCCGCATCGAAAAGCTTCCACACATGTTTGATTCCGTGGAGTCAGCCAAATTGATAACCGAAGCCAACCTTTGTGTTGCGCTGCATATTTCGTATGTTGCCCCGGAGCAGCTTCTCTCAGCTGCGTTTGGACCCTGAATACGACAACCTTGCTCACTCTTGCGAAAGAAAGCAGGTACGTACCAAACAGCAGGATGCTCGATCGACGCCGAACATGGACGCTCCGGGATCGAAGGGAGCTCTTTGTCGAAAAGCGCGCAAGGTACATAGCTGCCTATGTTGGTTGCAGCTAATGAATCTGTGTACACAGCGTTGTGTGACATTTTCCACAACCTTCTCGCACAATCGATTCCAGACTTCTTTTTGATAAAGATGTGAGATCACTACCAGCAACATATTCTCCAAAAACAAAAACAAAACAACTACAACACTGAGACTCGAAAAGGCGCGCGCGTATGCAGACAGGGTCCAAGTGGAGAGGGGCAGCTCGAGTTTGTATTGACTGCCCCTGTTGGTGTAATACAGCTGAAGAGACTGGCAATACAAAACTGGATCCTGCTGCAGACCATTCGCTTCAAGCCATTCATTCACTCAGGGGTATCACGCTTCCTTCTCCTCCTCCTCGACCACCTCCCACCATCAACGACAGACCCCTGGCCAACACGCTGACGCTTGATCGAGCTCGATCAGATCTTTCAAGGATTTCGAACAAGATGATCCGTCATTAGCAGCTGCCTCGAGATTACCTCCATCAAACTCTCTCATTCGGACAGTCAGCCAACATAGGAATAACCTCGATACCTACCTTCATACGCACACCCAATACAAGGGTCGGTTAAATCATACTTGAGATCAGCAAAGAGCCAACATCTTCGCGTAGCGAGAGGCGATACCACCATGGTGTCTTCGACGACACGCTCTCGTCCGGGAGGACAGCACCGGTCACTTCCAACTCTGACCGTCTTCAATCATCCCACGGCCAGGCTGATCAAGACCATTCCACCTCTGCAACCTCCAACACGACTCAACGGGCATGTGCCAACAGATTCTTTGGGTGCTGGGCGCATATCGAACACAGACGTTGTTCTCACCGATGTCTATGGCCCATTGTCCGTCCTCATGGTTCCCGACCCGCTTGATCCGACCATTGCAACACTCGTATTATCTGTCGGAATCCAAGACGCAAAGCTGCAAGGAGCCGCACGTCGATTCGTTCTTCCATTCCGCTCTTTCCAACGGGATCCTGTCTCTGGACAGCTTATCTCCCAGTCTCAGATCAAGGGCTTTGATGCCGCAGATCGCACCCTCTACCCGGGTCTGGGCGCTGGCTTGAAAGGCTTGGACGGCGGCAGTTTCTGGTTTTTTGAAGATGTTGGAGAAGAAGGCGCCTTCGACAGATACAGATGGGAGAAGGATGGTGTTGGTCGACGCGCTATCTGGACCGTGTGGCTCATCAGTACCCCCGCTCCCATCGTTCTTCACGTGCAGAACCTCTTGCAGTCATACCCTGCTCCTGTCCCGCCACTGCCGCCTTGGCTGGAGGAAGGCAGCGGCTATCCATGGAGGGACACCTTTGTTGCCCTTCCGTCAGCATCCGCTCTGACACCTACCATTCTCAAAGGGCAACTGCCCACTGATGCCTTTGTCGCTATCCAGTCTACCTCCCCTGCGGCTTTTTCAGTTGCAAGACCCCTGCACGCCATCCCGCAGGTCCCTGTCGAGCCAGAGCATCTCCGTGGTGAGAGCTGCATCTCCACGAAAGCAACTTCTGCAGACATGGACGCCTCGGGTGCTTTGCAGGATACGCTCACTTCGTCACAAGACCAAAGTGCCGACCCAGCACTTAAAACCTATGTCGATGATGGCGCAACTCCAACAACATCACAACTCTCAGTACGCTCAAGACACCTTCGCCATGCATCGTCTTCTGTCACCATCGGAGACGGCCCAGAAGTGATTATGCACAACGCTCCTCGTACTACAGCCATCTCCGAATATAGAAACAGTCTTATTGCTGTTGATAACCTCACCGGTCAGATCATCGGTGTTCTCGCTTCTGACATCAATCTACACTCTTCTTCGATCGGCATCTCGCAGCCCGTTGACATGGCTGCCATGACCAGCAGTGACGAAGTTGAAGCGAATGCCGAGGACGAAGAGGAGATTCAGACTCCTCTCGACGAACACACTCGCATTCTACATAGCAAGGGCGCTGAAGACGTTCTCGGCATGCAGACCGCACCTGCCTCAACACCGGAAGAGCCTGAACTTCCAGAAACCAG